GAAATGGAGCGATCGAATGGAGCAAGTCAATATCAGTAGGAGCAAGTCAATATCAGTAAGAGCGAACGTGTCAATACGAACAAGCGGGTCGGAATGTGTGAACCAGAAGATTGGATCGAGGCCAATTGATCGAGGCGAGTTGATCTGAACGTGTGTATCTTATCGTAATGAGGGGAGGCTGTCTGCGACGTGCTGCAACATCTCCGGAAGTTTGCAGCGCCAAGCTTGCATCGAGCCGTTGCACTCAACACAAAAGGTAGTCGAGCATGTGTTTCATTGACGCGATATGTTGAACCAATGTGGCGACCAGAACAACATTGGACGAACTCAGAGCGTTAGAGAACAAAGCGAGGCTGAATGAGCATGCCGATTTCCATTTGATTGGCTACATTGCAGTCGCCTTGTTCTGTTCCGTCCGTGTGAGAGTGCGGCAGGTTGCAAGCGTGTCGATGGTGTCGTTGATGTGTGACGTCTACCATCCCCAGCCGCCACCGTATCCACCCCCAGCCACCACCGTATCCACCCCAGGGACGCCCCCATCCATAGCCTCCCCAGCGATGTCCCCATCCCGGTCGTCCCCACCACTCCTTGGCCTTCTTGCTGTCATCGTCGACATCATGCTCCGTGTTGGCAGCTGCAGCAGCAGCCTCCACAGGAGAAGAGGATTGTTGCTTGGTCGGGTCGGAAGCAAGTGTGTCGGCAATGGGTGCAGTTGGCTCCTGTGCGGCAAGTGCTCGGAGAGCCGGCTGGTAGTCGTCAGCGGATGCGACGCTTGCTACGGTGGCTAGCGCAGTGATGGCGAGAGCGGTGATCTTCATGGTCGAGTTCGTCTGTCGCTTGATCGGTCGGTCGGTCGGTCGGTCAAGTCGATAACTTCCTCGCTGCGTGGTGCACTGGCAGTGTCAATTGGATAGTGAGTGAGTGGGATCGGTAGACGAGCTCGCGAGTGGGCTGGTGTTGTGACGGGTAAATGGTCACGAACCGTCATGGTGACTGCTTCAGTTGATTGAGTTGATCAAGCTGATGGTTGGAAGGCCCGCGTGTTTCGATCATGTTTCCAGCCACGAGCGTGAAAGGCAATTTCGAGTCACGTTTGTGTTTGTCCGTTTCTTTGCGAATGTGGTAGCTGATTCCCTGGCTGGTTCCGATACTCATCGATTCGTGGTGTATGCTACGAGGTGGCCACGAACAGTACGATGGGAGGTCGGTGTCAGTGTTTGTTTCTTGATTTGCATCGGGGAGTCGTGTTGTACTGTGTCCACATCCGTATTGACGTAGTGGTCAGAGCTGACGACCTTGTCGTAGTGTTCAACCTTGTCGTAGTGTTGTCAACACCAGCTTCAACCTGGCGACCGATATCGATGACGTGTTGACGTCTATCGATACTCTCAATGCATGTTTGGTGGAAATGAAGTGGAATACAAGCGTTCGCTTTGGGATATTGCAAAGGGTACGGCAATTCATAGCGCTTGGTTTACAGCTACAAGAAAGTATGGCAATCACTGTGCAGAAATGGAGCGATCGAATGGAGCAAGTCAATATCAGTTGGAGCAAGTCAATATCAGTAAGAAGCGAACGTGTCAATACGAACAAGCGGGTCGGAATGTGTGAATCAGAAAAGTGGATCGAGGCCAATTGATCGAGGGCGAGTTGATCTGAACGTGTGTATCTTATCGTAATGAGGGGAGGCTGACTACGACGTGCTGCAACATCTCGGAAGTATGCAGCGCCAAGCTTGCACCGAGCCGTTGCACTCAACACAAAAGGTAGTCGAGCATGTGTTTCATTGACGCGATATGTTGAACCAATGTGGCGACCAGAACAACATTGGACGAACTCAGAGCGTTAGAGAACAAAGCGAGGCTGAATGAGCATGCCGATTTCCATTTGATTGGCTACATTGCAGTCGCCTTGTTCTGTTCCGTCCGTGTGAGAGTGCGGCAGGTTGCAAGCGTGTCGATGGTGTCGTTGATGTGTGACGTCTACCATCCCCAGCCGCCACCGTATCCACCCCAGCCACCACCGTACCCACCCCAGGGACGCCCCCATCCATAGCCTCCCCAGCGATGTCCCCATCCCGGTCGTCCCCACCACTCCTTGGCCTTCTTGCTGTCATCGTCGACATCATGCTCCGTGTTGGCAGCTGCAGTAGCAGCCTCCACAGGAGAAGAGGATTGTTGCTTGGTCGGGTCGGAAGCAAGTGTGTCGGCAATGGGTGCAGTTGGCTCCTGTGCGGCAAGTGCTCGGAGAGCCGGCTGGTAGTCGTCAGCGGATGCGACGCTTGCTACGGTGGCTAGCGCAGTGATGGCGAGAGCGGTGATCTTCATGGTCGAGTTCGTCTGTCGCTTGATCGGTCGGTCGGTCGGTCGGTCGGTCGAGTCGATAACTTCCTCGCTGCGTGGTGCACTGGCAGTGTCAATTGGATAGTGAGTGAGTGGGATCGGTAGACGAGCTCGCGAGTGGGCTGGTGTTGTGACGGGTAAATGGTCACGAACCGTCATGGTGACTGCTTCAGTTGATTGAGTTGATCAAGCTGATGGTCGGAAGGCCCGCGTGTTTCGATCATGTTTCCAGCCACGAGCGTGAAAGGCAATTTCGAGTCACGTTTGTGTTTGTCCGTTTCTTAGCGAATGTGGTAGCTGATTTCTGGCTGGTTCCGATACTCATCGATTCGTGGTGCATGCTACGAGGTGGCCACGAACAGTACGATGGAGGTCGGTGTCAGTGTTTGTTTCCTGGTTTGCATCGGGAGTCGTGTTGTACTGTGTCTACATCCGTATCGACGCTGTGGCCAGAGCTGATGACCTTGTCGTAGTGCTCAACCTTGTCGTAGTGTTCAACACCAGCTTCAACCTGGCGACCGATATCGATGACGTGTTGACGTCTATCGATACTCTCAATGCATGTTTGGTGGAAATGAAGTGGAATACAAGCGTTCGCTTTGGGATATTGCAAAGGGTACGGCAATTCATAGCGCTTGGTTTACAGCTACGAGAAAGTATGGTAATCACTGAGCAGAAATGGAGCGATCGAATGGAGCAAGTCAATATCAGTAGGAGCAAGTCAATATCAGTAAGGAGCGAACGTGTCAATACGAACAAGCGGGTCGGAATGTGTGAACCAGAAGAGTGGATCGAGGCCAATTGATCGAGGCGAGTTGATCTAAACGTGTGTATCTTATCGTAATGAGGGGGAGGCTGTCTGCGACGTGCTGCAACATCTCGGAAGCTTGCAGCGCCAAGCTTGCACCGAGCCGTTGCACTCAACACAAAGGTAGTCGAGCATGTGTTTCATTGACGCGATATGTTGAACCAATGTGGCGACCAGAACAACATTGGACGAACTCAGAGCGTTGGAGAACAAAGCGAGGCTGAATGAGCATGCCGATTTTCCATTTGATTGGCTACATTGCAGTCGCCTTGTTCTGTTCCGTCCGTGTGAGAGTGCGGCAGGTTGCAAGCGTGTCGATGGTGTCGTTGATGTGTGACGTCTACCATCCCCAGCCGCCACCGTATCCACCCCAGCCACCACCGTAGCCACCCCAGGGACGCCCCCATCCATAGCCTCCCCAGCGATGTCCCCATCCCGGTCGTCCCCACCACTCCTTGGCCTTCTTGCTGTCATCGTCGACATCATGCTCCGTGTTGGCAGCTGCAGCGGCAGCCTCCACAGGAGAAGAGGATTGTTGCTTGGTCGGGTCGGAAGCAAGTGTGTCGGCAATGGGTGCAGTTGGCTCCTGTGCGGCAAGTGCTCGGAGAGCCGGCTGGTAGTCGTCAGCGGATGCGACGCTTGCTACGGTGGCTAGCGCAGTGATGGCGAGAGCGGTGATCTTCATGGTCGAGTTCGTCTGTCGCTTGATCGGTCCGGTCGGTCGGTCGGTCGAGTCGATAACTTCCTCGCTGCGTGGTGCACTGGCAGTGTCAATTGGATAGTGAGTGAGTGGGATCGGTAGACGAGCTCGCGAGTGGGCTGGTGTTGTGACGGGTAAATGGTCACGAACCGTCATGGTGACTGCTTCAGTTGATTGAGTTGATCAAGCTGATAGTTGGAAGGCCCGCGTGTTTCGATCATGTTTCCAGCCACGAGCGTGAAAGGCAATTTCGAGTCACGTTTGTGTTTGTCCGTTTGTTTGCGAATGTGGTAGCTGATTCCTGGCTGGTTCCGATACTCATCGATTCGTGGTGCATGCTACGAGGGTGGCCACGAACAGTACGATGGAGGTCGGTGTCAGTGTTTGTTTCCTTGATTTGCATCGGGAGTCGTGTTGTACTGTGTCCACATCCGTATTGACGCTAGTGGCCAGAGCTGATGACCTTGTCGTAGTGCTCAACCTTGTCGTAGTGTTCAACACCAGCTTCAACCTGGCGACCGATATCGATGACAGTGTTGACGTCTATCGATACTCTCAATGCATGTTTGGTGGAAATGAAGTGGAATGCAAGCGTTTGCTTTTGGGATATTGCAAAGGGTACGGCAATTCATAGCGCTTGGTTTACAGCTACGAGAAAGTATGGCAATCACTGTGCAGAAATGGAGCGATCGAATGGAGCAAGTCACTATCAGTTGGAGCAAGTCAATATCAGTAAGAACGGAACGTGTCAATACGAACAAGCGGGTCCGGAATGTGTGAACCAGAAAAGTGGATCGAGGCCAATTGATCGAGGCGAGTTGATCTGAACGTGTGTATCTTATCGTAATGAGGGGAGGCTGTCTACGACGTGCTGCAACATCTCGGAAGCTTGCAGCGCCAAGCTTGCATCGAGCCGTTGCACTCAACACAAAAGGTAGTCGAGCATGTGTTTCATTGACGCGATATGTTGAACCAATGTGGCGACCAGAACAACATTGGACGAACTCACAGCGTTAGAGAACAAAGCGAGGCTGAATGAGCATGCCGATTTCCATTTGATTGGCTACATTGCAGTCGCCTTGTTCTGTTCCGTCCGTGTGAGAGTGCGGCAGGTTGCAAGCGTGTCGATGGTGTCGTTGATGTGTGACGTCTACCATCCCCAGCCGCCACCGTATCCACCCCCAGCCACCACCGTAGCCACACCCCAGGGACGCCCCCATCCATAGCCTCCCCAGCGATGTCCCCATCCCGGTCGTCCCCACCACTCCTTGGCCTTCTTGCTGTCATCGTCGACATCATGCTCCGTGTTGGCAGCTGCAGCAGCAGCCTCCACAGGAGAAGAGGATTGTTGCTTGGTCGGGTCGGAAGCAAGTGTGTCGGCAATGGGTGCAGTTGGCTCCTGTGCGGCAAGTGCTCGGAGAGCCGGCTGGTAGTCGTCAGCGGATGCGACGCTTGCTACGGTGGCTAGCGCAGTGATGGCGAGAGCGGTGATCTTCATGGTCGAGTTCGTCTGTCGCTTGATCGGTCGGTCGGTCGGTCGGTCGGTCGAGTCGATAACTTCCTCGCTGCGTGGTGCACTGGCAGTGTCAATTGGATAGTGAGTGAGTGGGATCGGTAGACGAGCTCGCGAGTGGGCTGGTGTTGTGACGGGTAAATGGTCACGAACCGTCATGGTGACTGCTTCAGTTGATTGAGTTGATCAAGCTGATGGTTGGAAGGCCCGCGTGTTTCGATCATGTTTCCAGCCACGAGCGTGAAAGGCAATCTTCGAGTCACGTTTGTGTTTTTCCGTTTCTTTGCGAATGTGGTAGCTGATTCCTGGCTGGTTCTGATACTCATCGATTCGTGGTGTATGCTACGAGGTGGCCACGAACAGTACGATGGAGGTCGGTGTCAGTGTTTGTTTCCTGGTTTGCATCGGGAGTCGTGTTGTACTGTGTCTACATCCGTCTTGACGCTGTGGCCAGAGCTGACGACCTTGTCGTAGTGTTCAACCTTGTCGTAGTGTTCAACACCAGCTTCAACCTGGCGACCGATATCGATGACGTGTTGACGTCTATCGATACTCTCAATGCATGTTTGGTGGAAATGAAGTGGAATGCAAGCGTTTGCTTTGGGATATTGCAAAGGGTACGGCAATTCATAGCGCTTGGTTTACAGCTACGAGAAAGTATGGCAATCACTGTGCAGAAATGGAGCGATCGAATGGAGCAAGTCACTATCAGTAGGAGCAAGTCAATATCAGTAAGAAGGAACGTGTCAATACGAACAAACGGGTCGGAATGTGTGAATCAGAAAAGTGGATCGAGGCCAATTGATCGAGGCGAGTTGATCTGAACGTGTGTATCTTATCGTAATGAGGGGGAGGCTGTCTGCGACGTGCTGCAACATCTCGGAAGTCTGCAGCGCCAAGCTTGCATCGAGCCGTTGCACTCAACACAAAAGGTAGTCGAGCATGTGTTTCATTGACGCGATATGTTGAACCAATGTGGCGACCAGAACAACATTGGACGAACTCAGAGCGTTAGAGAACAAAGCGAGGCTGAATGAGCATGCCGATTTCCATTTGATTGGCTACATTGCAGTCGCCTTGTTCTGTTCCGTCCGTGTGAGAGTGCGGCAGGTTGCAAGCGTGTCGATGGTGTCGTTGATGTGTGACGTCTACCATCCCCAGCCGCCACCGTATCCACCCCAGCCACCACCGTAGCCACCCCAGGGACGCCCCCATCCATAGCCTCCCCAGCGATGTCCCCATCCCGGTCGTCCCCACCACTCCTTGGCCTTCTTGCTGTCATCGTCGACATCATGCTCCGTGTTGGCAGCTGCAGCAGCCCTCCACAGGAGAAGAGGATTGTTGCTTGGTCGGGTCGGAAGCAAGTGTGTCGGCAATGGGTGCAGTTGGCTCCTGTGCGGCAAGTGCTCGGAGAGCCGGCTGGTAGTCGTCAGCGGATGCGACGCTTGCTACGGTGGCTAGCGCAGTGATGGCGAGAGCGGTGATCTTCATGGTCGAGTTCGTCTGTCGCTTGATCGGTCGGTCGGTCGGTCGGTCGAGTCGATAACTTCCTCGCTGCGTGGTGCACTGGCAGTGTCAATTGGATAGTGAGTGAGTGGGATCGGTAGACGAGCTCGCGAGTGGGCTGGTGTTGTGACGGGTAAATGGTCACGAACCGTCATGGTGACTGCTTCAGTTGATTGAGTTGATCAAGCTGATGGTTGGAAGGCCCGCGTGTTTCGATCATGTTTCCAGCCACGAGCGTGAAAGGCAATTTCGAGTCACGTTTGTGTTTGTCCGTTTGTTTGCGAATGTGGTAGCTGATTCCTGGCTGGTTCCGATACTCATCGATTCGTGGTGCATGCTACGAGGTGGCCACGAACAGTACGATGGAGGTCGGTGTCAGTGCTTGTTTCTTGATTTGCATCGGTAGTCGTGTTGCACTGTGTCCACATCCGTATCGACGCTGTGGCCAGAGCTGGTAACCTTGTCGTAGTGCTCAACCTTGTCGTAGTGTTCAACACCAGCTTCAACCTGGCGACCGATATCGATGACGTGTTGACGTCTATCGATACTCTCAATGCATGTTTGGTGGAAATGAAGTGGAATGCAAGCGTCTGCTTTGGGATATTGCAAAGGGTACGGCAATTCATAGCGCTTGGTTTACAGCTACGAGAAAGTATGGCAATCACTGTGCAGAAATGGAGCGATCGAATGGAGCAAGTCAATATCAGTAGGAGCAAGTCAATATCAGTAAGAGCGAACGTGTCAATACGAACAAGCGGGTCGGAATGTGTGAATCAGAAGATTTGATCGAGGGCAAATTGATCGAGGCGAGTTGATCTGAACGTGTGTATCTTATCGTAATGAGGGGAGGCTGTCTACGACGTGCTGCAACATCTCGGAAGCTTGCAGCGCCAAGCTTGCATCGAGCCGTTGCACTCAACACAAAAGGTAGTCGAGCATGTGTTTCATTGACGCGATATGTTGAACCAATGTGGCGACCAGAACAACATTGGACGAACTCACAGCGTTAGAGAACAAAGCGAGGCTGAATGAGCATGCCGATTTCCATTTGATTGGCTACATTGCAGTCGCCTTGTTCTGTTCCGTCCGTGTGAGAGTGCGGCAGGTTGCAAGCGTGTCGATGGTGTCGTTGATGTGTGACGTCTACCATCCCCAGCCGCCACCGTATCCACCCCAGCCACCACCGTAGCCACCCCCAGGGACGCCCCCATCCATAGCCTCCCCAGCGATGTCCCCATCCCGGTCGTCCCCACCACTCCTTGGCCTTCTTGCTGTCATCGTCGACATCATGCTCCGTGTTGGCAGCTGCAGCAGCAGCCTCCACAGGAGAAGAGGATTGTTGCTTGGTCGGGTCGGAAGCAAGTGTGTCGGCAATGGGTGCAGTTGGCTCCTGTGCGGCAAGTGCTCGGAGAGCCGGCTGGTAGTCGTCAGCGGATGCGACGCTTGCTACGGTGGCTAGCGCAGTGATGGCGAGAGCGGTGATCTTCATGGTCGAGTTCGTCTGTCGCTTGATCGGTCGGTCGGTCGGTCGGTCGAGTCGATAACTTCCTCGCTGCGTGGTGCACTGGCAGTGTCAATTGGATAGTGAGTGAGTGGGATCGGTAGACGAGCTCGCGAGTGGGCTGGTGTTGTGACGGGTAAATGGTCACGAACCGTCATGGTGACTGCTTCAGTTGATTGAGTTGATCAAGCTGATAGTTGGAAGGCCCGCGTGTTTCGATCATGTTTCCAGCCACGAGCGTGAAAGGCAATTTCGAGTCACGTTTGTGTTTGTCCGTTTGTTTGCGAATGTGGTAGCTGATTCCTGGCTGGTTCCGATACTCATCGATTCGTGGTGTATGCTACGAGGTGGCCACGAACAGCACGATGGAGGTCAGTGTCAGTGTTTGTTTCTTGATTTGCATCGGGAGTCGTGTTGTACTGTGTCTACTTCCGTATTGACGTAGTGGTCAGAGCTGATGACCTTGTCGTAGTGCTCAACCTTGTCGTAGTGTTCAATTTCAACCTGGCGACCGATATCGATGACAGTGTTGATGTCTATCGATACTCTCAAAGCATGTTTGGTGGAAATGAAGTGGAATGCAAGCGTTCGCTTTGGGATATTGCAAAGGGTACGGCAATTCATAGCGCTTGGTTTACAACTACAAGAAAGTATGGCAATCACTGTGCAGAAATGGAGCGATCGAATGGAGCAAGTCAATATCAGTAGGAGCAAGTCAATATCAGTAAGAAGGAACGTGTCAATACGAACAAGCGGGTCGGAATGTGTGAACCAGAAGATTTGATCGAGGCCAATTGATCGAGGCGAGTTGATCTGAACGTGTGTATCTTATCGTAATGAGGGGGAGGCTGACTACGACGTGCTGCAACATCTCGGAAGTATGCAGCACCAAGCTTGCACCGAGCCGTTGCACTCAACACAAAAGGTAGTCGAGCATGTGTTTCATTGACGCGATATGTTGAACCAATGTGGCGACCAGAACAACATTGGACGAACTCAGAGCGTTAGAGAACAAAGCGAGGCTGAATGAGCATGCCGATTTCCATTTGATTGGCTACATTGCAGTCGCCTTGTTCTGTTCCGTCCGTGTGAGAGTGCGGCAGGTTGCAAGCGTGTCGATGGTGTCGTTGATGTGTGACGTCTACCATCCCCAGCCGCCACCGTATCCACCCCAGCCACCACCGTAGCCACCCCAGGGACGCCCCCATCCATAGCCTCCCCAGCGATGTCCCCATCCCGGTCGTCCCCACCACTCCTTGGCCTTCTTGCTGTCATCGTCGACATCATGCTCCGTGTTGGCAGCTGCAGCAGCAGCCTCCACAGGAGAAGAGGATTGTTGCTTGGTCGGGTCGGAAGCAAGTGTGTCGGCAATGGGTGCAGTTGGCTCCTGTGCGGCAAGTGCTCGGAGAGCCGGCTGGTAGTCTTCAGCGGATGCGACGCTTGCTACGGTGGCTAGCGCAGTGATGGCGAGAGCGGTGATCTTCATGGTCGAGTTCGTCTGTCGCTTGATCGGTCGGTCGGTCGGTCGGTCGAGTCGATAACTTCCTCGCTGCGTGGTGCACTGGCAGTGTCAATTGGATTGTGAGTGAGTGGGATCGGTAGACGAGCTCGCGAGTGGGCTGGTGTTGTGACGGATAAATGGTCACGAACCGTTATGGTGACTGCTTCAGTTGATTGAGTTGATCAAGCTGATAGTTGGAAGGCCCGCGTGTTTCGATCATGTTTCCAGCCACGAGCGTGAAAGGCATCTTTGAGTCACGTTTGTGTTTTTCCGTTTGTTTGCGAATGTGGTAGCTGATTCCTGGCTGGTTCTGATACTCATCGATTCGTGGTGCATGCTACGAGGTGACCACGAACAGTACGATGGAGGTTGGTGTCAGTGCTTGTTTCTTGATTTGCGTCGGGAGTCGTGTTGTACTGTGTCCACATCCGTATCGACGCTGTGGCCAGAGCTGACGACCTTGTCGTAGTGTTCAACCTTGTCGTAGTGTTCAACACCAGCTTCAACCTGGCGACCGATATCGATGACAGTGTTGATGTCTGTCGATACTCTCAATGCATGTTTGGTGGAAATGAAGTGGAATGCAAGCGTCTGCTTTGGGATATTGCAAAGGGTACGGCAATTCATAGCGCTTGGTTTACAGCTACGAGA